TACTATAAAAATTTACTATAAAAATTTACTATATCATGAAAATTTTTAATTGGAATAAACATATAATTTAATTTATATGAAAATCTTGTATATATTTTTGTTTAATGACTTGAATTAATTATTAAGTAAGTTATACAATACTTTTGCTATATACTGTACTATATATTGTATATAAATTTTAACTCAATTTAATTAGATATATAGACGGAGGCTTTATTTTTCTAAAAATTTCAATACCCAATTTATTCAGATCTTATTTCATCTGCTGATAAGTTTTTTTATGATATAGTTGAATCTCTTAAAATTTATTTAATAAAGCCTAAAGCTTACAGGTTATGATCTTATTTTTCTTAGATTTATAAAGCACGTATTCAAAATAGCAAACTAGCAAAGCTACAAAAATAGCTCTAGCTTTCTTAACAAGAATGCCTATTAAATGTGATGAGATTTGCAAATGGAAGAGATAAAGATTCGGAATTATACTATAAAGTAAAGAGTGTCACACAAAATCTTGATTTATCTTCTGACTCTGAAGTGAAATTTTATAGCTCTAAAGGTTACTTGGTACGAATTATGATATATTGAGATTTATTTGTTATTTAATTGGTCTTCAAGTTTTTTTATTTAAGACTATTTAACTTACGTGTTTAATTTATTTAATTTATAAGAGCATAAGTTTGTTGTTTTTTTAAAAGTAATAAATATATTTTATTGTTTGCACAAAGTACAATTTAAAAATAATTGACAAGTTTTTAAAAAAATTTTTTTGAAACAGTATGTAATTACCAAAATAAATTTTTTTTTAATTTGAAAATTTTGATATTATATCCGGTATTACATTGGTGATATCTAAAAATTATTTAAAGTAAGTATATGAATTAAATTTAAATTCTGCTTTATTTTTTTATTTACAATTACTAATTACCTCTTTCAAGCTTTTTTTATATAATTTTATATGTTCTACTAACATATTGAATGCATTATTTTCATTTTGAGCAAATCATCGCCTCCATATATATTCTAGAAAGTAAGCATCATACAAGTCTTTGACTGTCCCATATCGTGGAAGTGAAGCTTTTACTACACGCCAAGTTGATTCTATAGTGTTTGTGTGAACTCTTGTTTCAGGACGTAAGTCATTTAGATAACTTTCGTGTTCTGAAAGTTTGAGACGCCCGATAGATTCACAGAAAAAATCACTAATGTGAATACTTTGACCCTGTGATTAGGAATAGGAATAAAGAATTAGTCAACAAACTAAAATATTATACGTATAATTAATTAGCTGATTGATAATATTTGGTCAACTGATTAGTCGACTAAAGAATGTAAGTTATTCTGATTCTTACTAGTGATTTTTTCCGTAGGCTATATTCACCCGCCGGGCCCCAATACTCATTCACACCATCATTTGCGTAAAGAGTGGTCTCGTCTTGGTTGACGGGAACTATTTCAGGATAAAGTTCCGGAGGGATAATACGGTCTAAATTTTCACCTATGTATTGGGCCATTTGTTTTCTTAACCTAGCCATCTCTTGCAGAAAACGATTTCTGTCTTCTACCACATCTTCACGTTCGTGACCGTCAAAATAAATTTTTTTTGTATGGGTTTGGTATTTCCACCCAAGTAATTTTAGCCATCTGCGTGCAGTTGACCTATTAATAATTTTACTTGTGATTCCAAAAGTAGGCATAATACTACTAACGTATCTTATAAAATTTGGAATGGCTAATTTAAATTTATTTTTCTCCAAATACTGATTTATTTGAAGCCGAAAGCTTTTATTATGTATTAAAGATTTCGTTTTTATATGTCGGCCACGTTTCGACTTTATTAATTCTTTGCAATTCTTCCATTGATTTGCTATTTTCTCTTTTATATACAATTATC